ATTACATAAAGGCCTAGCTGTCTTTGCGCAACGGTACGAAGACACTGACTATGACCAACAGGGCGTCCATGTCAGACTGGCGATACCGCAGCCAGACTTGCTGACAGCCCTCTCACTGGCGTCGGTCAGCAAATCCTGGTGCGCAGCAGTGCTCTCCCAGGTAGAGCATAAGCTCTTTGTGAGTCCACACCGCACTGCCAGGGCCGCTATGTCTCTCGGCCTACGTGTCATGGTCCAGTCCTTTGACACGCCCCAGTGGCATCTCGCGTCCGAGGAGCTTACCATCCACATTCAACACCGCCAATAGGTCGTGGTGCAGAAGTTCCGGAACCCCCGTAACTCGGACGGACCGACGGCAACCATCAGCCGAGAAGCCGAGGAATCCAGTGCTCTCCACGACCACTACTACAGACTTTTCTGAGCACTTCGGGCCATAGGCAGTTCACTGACTCACGCAAGGAAAGTGGCACAGCCTCCGATTAGGTGTGGCACAGCCACCCAGCTTGTCACAGTCAGCAACGAGTGGCTCCCCTGCCCAGAGAAATCGACTTGCAGCCGCTAACACTCAGCTACTTGCATCATTGTTTTCTCTCACCTGTGATCTGAGTTCTGAGGTCTCGGCTACCACACGGCACCAACTCTCAGCCCGAGTGCCCTCTGCTGGTGTTCTTTGCCTAAAGTTGCCCAGCGTTGCTTGAGCTTCGTGCTTGGTCTTGAGACTATGCTAAACATGTATACCGCAGCTGTCAGCTCGAACTGTTGTACCGGACGGAGCGGCAGGAGTATCACAACAAGCACTATAATCACGCCTTGCAGAAGCTACTTCTCGTAACAAACTGCGCCTTTACGAAGAGCACAGCTCACCACTTGGCCGCGTGTCACAGACTCTGGCCCATCAGCTACAGCTGAGACCATGGACAAACCTCCCAGTCTGGGCCCTTTTCTGGTGCTCAGCGATAGCACCTTGCAGCACATGCTGCGGGGACACACTTACGGAGTGTTCCCGCTGCTGACGGGCCAGGTCTTAAGCTGCCCAGGCGCCGCCCTCAACATTTCTGCCGGCAGCGTCCCCTCCATCTTGGAGCTCCTCCACTGGCAATTTGGGCTCTTTGGGCCGCACAAATTCACAGCGGCTGTGCAGAGTCCGCCGGTGGCCTCCATCTTGGAGAACCACCTCGACGGACAAATCAACGTTCGCTTCATTCCGCTGTCCCGAAGCCTGCGCCCAGAGAAGCAAATCAATTATGACTACCTGATCGATGGCAGGGTCCAATATGGCTTCGCGGACAAGAACCTGCACAACCAAGAAATCATGGACCTGGCCCAGATGCCTGGTGTAGGAGGGGTAGAATGGCTCTACAACTCCAAGAACCTTCATTTCCGCCCCGAAGTCGCGGACATTGTCATCCCGGCGCTTGTAACCAGAGCCATCGAGGAAATGCGCAACACCCCAGGACTGCCTGTCCTCGTGGTCGCTGGTTGGAACGCTCGCGAGCAGGACATGCATGTCGAAATGCTAGCTGCCCAGGCTCTGTCGCAATGCCGCACGGTCCGTGATCTTTCAGAAGTAGCCATGCAATACGGACATGGCCCCTGGGGAATGCGATTCACACATCTCCCAGAATGGGAAGCCGCCCCTGTCCCAGCCCTCCTCTTCCAGACCTACGTTCACGACGAAAAGCCGGAACCGGCCCAAGTCGCGGCCAAAATGTTTGCTGGCTTCACCCGCAGATTCTGTGATGATGATGTTCTTCGGGCTACCCTGCGGCAACTCGCAGGTAAGTACGGCTCCAATCTGCTGGATCGCCTCAGCCAACCTGCTCATCGAGCAGACGTATTCCGATACGTCTACCACTACCAGCACGGCGGCCTATACGTCGACATCAAATGTGGCTTCGTAGTACCTTGGGAACAAGTACTTGTGTATCTCGCAGCAGATTGGAGCACAGCTCACTCAAAGAAGGCAGGTGAAGTGGGTCACAGACCCTCCCCACCTGGCCAACTCCCACAGGAGTTCATGGTCATGGCCATAGGAGTCACAGGAGATCATATTTTTCAAGGCATCATCTATGGCAAGCCCAGACACCCCTTGATGAGGGAAGCCATACAGCACGCCTTCAGCCGTCAGGTTATGACAGCGAAGGCAAACTTGGAATACATGACCTTCTGCAAATATCTTTGGCAGATCTTGGGTCGTGTCCTTGGTCACTCCCCTCAGCCGGGATGGAATGTTTCCACCAAATTTGGCCCCATATACCTGTTCTCGGAGCGCTGGGACAAGCGAGTGAAGAACAAGAAGTACGACAATGATGGCCACTACTTCGTGACTACCAACAACACGACCGTTGCATATACCCGTTGCTGGGAGTGGCTGAAGGGATTTCAGGGAGACCCAACCACCAAGGAACGCACAGACCGCATGCTGCAGAGCCAACTCCCTGACATCTCCCTTGAAATCCAGTCTGACAGACCTGAAGAGCACAGCTCACCACAGCCACCTAGGTCACAGACCATGGCAACCGCCTCATCGGCTCCCCCTCCCCCCACTCAGGAGGATATTGAAGCCTATGTGGCCGACAGCATCCAGTACAACTCCTTTGCAGAGATCATGGCTACGGTCCGTGAAACCCACCACTACAATCAAGACCTTACAGAGCAGGATGTGCTGGAGCTTATCCCTCGAGGATTAGGGCAAGTGAAAGTCTCGGGAGACATGTGGCTATGCTGCTTGCACTGCCGCAAGCACAACAGGCAGGTGCAATTCAGCACTAGCCACGGCCTTAAGAACCACTTTGTCACTCAGAAGCACAACCCAGCACTCAGTGCCACGCCAGCCCCCCACTCTCCCCCCCCTCCTCCTCCCTCCAAGCTCCCCCAGGAAATTCCTCTTCCCCCCAGCAGTACCAGGACCAAAGGTGTAGACAAAGCAGCCGGCTTTGAGCCGCCACCCTCCCCCCCTTGCCCTTTCACCTCCTCAGCAGCTGAAAAGGCGGCCTTCAAAGCAGGCCAAGCAGAAACACCGAAGGCGGCCCCAGCGCTTCCGGTTAAGGCCCCACCGCCCTTGGTGGCCACCCAAAGCCCCCCGCCCTCTTCTTCATCGGCGGCACCAGCCCCCCCTCCTGCGATTCCGGTCCCCCCGATCCTTCCGCATCCCCCCAAGTCCGTCTCTCCTCCAACCCCCGCCACCCAGGCCGCTCCGCGCTCCCACACGCCCCCTCCTCCCTCTTCCCGCCCCCCGTCAGCATATGAGCCTCCGGAATCCAATGCGGAACTCGTCGGCTACGTCCCGCAGCCGGCTCCACGGCTGACAGTACGTTACACGAGGCAGGAGTTGGCTCAGCTGCTGAGCTCCCAGTCCCATCAAGACTGGATTCGGGCCTTAGCTTCCATCAACATCCTGGTGGCCCCGGTCATTCTTGGCGGCCTCACCAACCAGGAACAACAGACCCTTTGGTCTACCAGGATGGAAGCACTCCGAGAAGTTCCGCCGCTGTTCTCTGCCATCAAGTCTGTCAGGACGCAAACCGGCCTCACATGGGACACCGCCATGTCGGTGAGGCGAGTCCTCACAAGCGATGGGAAGGTCACCATCGCCACAGGCGCGGGCGATGCCTACCGCGAGCTGGACGCGCCAACAAAAGTGCATGGCCTTATCCATGCCTGCTTTAACAAGATGTGGGACGAAAAGGCTTTTCAGCAACACTTCCCCTCGTGGGTCGAATTCAATATGATCGCCACCACCATAGTGGCAGTCTACAATGAGACTGCAAAATCAGCTGGACTCCCAGCTCGTGTCTTCCGGGTCAAACCCGACAAAAATGCCTACTCCATCATGAAGATGCGGATACAGCATGACAAAGGGAACGAAGAGGACAAGCGCATGGCCAAGCTGGCTGCTGCTGCAACTCACAAGCGCCCACAGATGCAGGAGGCAGACACAGAGGGCAAGCGGCAGCGCGATGGCCCCTCCTCATCCTCCTCGTCCCAGTGGGCCAGACAGGCACGCTCATCTCAGGATGACGACTGGGACTGGTGGCAGCAGTGGTCCTGGCACGGATACTCTCAGCAGTGGCCAAAAGGTCATGACCAGTGAGGGCGATAATATGTCACAGACTCTATGATCCCTTATGTCACAGACTCAGGGAATTCGGCACTCTTCCGA